CAATAAAGCTAAGAAGAAATTTAGCATAAATGCAGCATGAAAAGTTAAAATATTACCATCAATTATTTTTCTATATACTAAGAAATAATTTAAAATTAAAATTTAAATAGCAGTAATGTTACGGTCTCATCAAAACACGAAACAATTACCAACAAATTTAATATGTGGAAGTTCCATATTCTTAAAAACTACATAATAATACTGAGAGAAATTAAAGGCAATCTTTGGAAGATAGATAGATTCTATTCATCTATTAGAAGGCTCAATACTATTAAATATCACTTCTACCCAAATTGATCTATAGATTTAATGCAATCTAAATCAAAATTCCACGAGGTTTGTTTTTTTTTTTTTTTTAAGAAATTTACAGGCTGATTCTAAAACATATAAGGAAATAAAGTCCCAAATACAAAGGTCCTAAAACAATCTTTAAATAAAAAGACAGAATTGTGTAACCTAACTTACACTAGCTTATTCTAAATAACATAAAGCTACTCTAATAAAATCAATGTGGCATTTCTCTAAGGAGGGGCATATATAATAAATCAATGAAACAGGATAGAGTTCAAAAACAGAAACGTTGCATGTCATCAATTGGTTTTTGACAGATACCAAGACCAATCAAAAAGATTTTCATTCCAGTAAATGGTACTGTATATTCATTTGGGGGAAAAAAATGAACCTTGGCTCTTACTGCACACCATTTGCAAATGTTAACTTAGTCATAGAATTCTAAATCAAAATGTAAAGGCTATCCTATAAAAACATCTAGAAAGAAACACAGGAAAAATCTTCATGATCAGAGGTAGGAGAGATTTCTTAGAGAGCAGACAGAACCTGCAGACAATTGAATAAAAGCATGGAGAGCAACAGTGGACACTGGACACAGTGTGGGAGGAGGGTAGGAATGAGGGACAGTGAGAAGGAGGGAATCAAAGGGAAAAGATAGAAGCAAAACATTTACGGGACATAAAAATGGGAATGTGTCTGCGGATGGTAATGTATACAGTAGTACCTTTGACTGGACTAATACACAGTGTATTCATACTGGGAAAATTCATCTTGTATGTTCTAATGCTATACAATGATTGAATATTTTTTTAAAAAAGCTATCTTATTTAAATAAATAAAGAAAGAAAAGTTATAATTTGAACTATATGAAAAATAAAACTTTGGGACCAGATGGCATAATGGTTACATTGCTGGACTCCCACATAGTCAATTGTGGTTTGAGTCCTGAACCCAGAGACTTAAAACTCATGCTGGGGATGTGTGCATGCTTGCCCAAAATCCTGAGAAGAGAATGGAGGAGAAGGGATTGCAGTATGACCATCCCTCTCCCGGCGAGGGGGGAGTGGGGTGTCTCACATTCTTTCTCTGTTTCTCTCTGTTGCTCTGGCCAGTATACAAGACCTGTAGCAAAAAAATCTATATAAATAAATAAATAAATAAAACTTACAGTTTTCAAGGTGTGTGTGGAGGAGTGGGGCCTAGGGAAGGGCATTTGGAGGAGGGATATGGAGGCAGAGCATTGACGGGACGGGAGGTGTGGTGTAATCTGCTGAAGATATTTTTATCAACAGAACTGGGGAGAATTGTTCATATATTGAAATGTTCACTTCATAAGCTAAACAATGTCATTAAACGTGTATAAAAATTAATTTTATATATATACATATATGAGATGTCAAGAAAATGAAAGGCATGTCACAGACTGGGAAAGAATGTCTGCCAAACAGATGAATGTCACAAAATTGCATCCATAGTTTTTTGGGCAGGGTGGAGAGATTTTTGCTATAGGGCACGTACACTCACCAGAAAGACAGAGAGAAACAGAGAGACAGAAAGTGAGAAATCAACCCCCAGGGGTGATGGCCACACCATAATCCCTTCTCCTCCATTCTCCTTTTAGGATCTTGGGCATGCATGCACACATGACCAGTGTGACTTGAACCACGGTTGACTACATGGGAGTCCAGCAACATAGCCATTACTCCAACTGCTAATCCTGCATCCAGATTTTATAATGAAATTTTACTTATTAATAATAAAAAGATTTTTTAAAACACAAATTTTTTACTGAGCAAAATATTTTATCAGCCATTTTACATACAATGGTCAAGAAATGCAGAGAAAAAATATTCTATATCATTAGTTAAATTAAAATAATAATGAGATACCATAATTGCACATCTAAATAGGATGATTGCAATTTAAGACTGACAAAACTGAATTTGGGTGAGAAATGTAGATCAACTGGAATTCCTATGCATTTCCTGAGGGAATGTGAAATCCTACAACCCTTTTGGGAAACAGCAATTTTCTATAAAGTTAAATTCATACTTATACAACTCAATAATCCTACTTCTAGGTATGTATGCAAGAGAAATAAGAATTTATTTCTACTTGTAGTCTTGTACACATATGTTCATTATATCATTTGTAATAGTTGAAAAAAAGATTCAAGCTTCCATTAGCTGGTAAATAGATAAATAGTTTGCTTTTCAATAGATGACTACTAAGTAATAAGAGGGAAGACATGATATATGCTACAACATCATTCTATCTCATGAAAATATTTATGGATATAAGATTATGTCCAGGGGCCAGCAGGTAGCATAAAAGTTAAGGCAGCTGGATCCCATACAGTCAACTGGAGACTTGAAAATAATCCCCAAAATCCCAAGAGGAGAAAGAAAAAGAAGGAATTACGGCATAGCCATTCCCCAGTAGGTGATTTCTGCCTCTCTCTCTCTCTCTCTCTCTCTCTCTCTCTCTCTCTGTCTCTCCAGCAAGTGCAAGCACTCTATGGCAAAAATCCAAAAAAAAAATAAAAATAAAAAGAGCACATCCGTTATGGTCCCATTCCACACCACAGATGTAGCTGCAAGCTAGAACTGCTGAAAGCAGTTCAAAGTGCTGGAGATGGAGGTGGAGAAGGACGCTGAACACAATAGGCACAAAAAGCATTTTGGATGATGGCTGTTTTATTTATATATTAAATATTAAAATATAATATTTTATGTATATTTATATCTTGATTATGTTGTTTAAATAGGTTCATACATGCCAAAGTTGTCCAACTTTACTCTTTATTTTTTTATTCTTTTTTTTTTTTGGAGAGGTTTTCGCTATAGGGCGCATGTGCTCGCCAGACAGACAGAGAGAGACATAGACACAGAAAGCGAGAAATCACCCCCCAGGGGAGATGGTCACGCCACAATCCCTTCTCCTCCATTCTCCTCTCAGGATCTTGGGCACGCACGCATGCACACGCGCCCGGCGTGAGTTTTAAGCCACCGGGTCCAGGACATGAACTGCAGTCGACTACGTGGGAGTCCAGTGACATAGCCATTACGCTAACTGCTGGTTCCCCAACTTTACTCTTAAAGTAGGTGCACGCTACTGCATTTAAATTCTACTGCATGAAAATGGTTGGTACGTGAATTAGAAAATAGGTTCTTGAGGAAAGATGATCAAGCAACACTGGAGGAAGGTGAGGATCTTCTGATAAAGGTGGTCAGTGAAGTTTTCCCTGATGCGATGGCTGAAAGACGTTCAAAGACAGAATTGAGTAGGAGCAGCCTTGTGGCCTGATAGTTAAAGGAGCTGGATCTTATATGCCCAGCTGCAGTTCAAGTCCTGGTTATGGCAGCTTGAAACACATACTGGGCATACATACCTGAAATCTGAAGAAGATGGAGAAATGAAGAAGAAATAGCAGTATGACCATTAAGGAGGTGCTTGCTCCCTTTTCTTCTCTCTCTGGCAAGCACAGATGCCCTCTGGCAATTGAAGAAGAAAGAAAAGAAAGAAAGAAAGAAAGAAAGAAAGAAAGAAAGAAAGAAAGAAAGAAAGAAGGAAGGGGGGAGAGAGAGAGAGAAAGAAAGAAGAAAGAAAGAACAAAAGAAGAAAGAAAGAATGAAGAAAGAAAAAGAAAGAAAAGAAAAAGAAAGAAAGAAAGAAAGAAAGGCAAGCGCACGTGCCCTATAGCAAAAATCTCTCCAAAAAAGAAAAAGAAAGAAAAGAAAAAAAGAAAGAGAGAGAAAGAAAGAAAGAAAGAAAGAAAGAAAGAAAGAAAGAAAGAAAGAAGAAAGAAAGAACGAAGAAAGAAAGAGAGAGAGAAAGAAAGAAGAAAGAAAGAATGAAGAAAGAAAAAGAAAGAAAGAAAGAAAGAGAAAGAGAAAGAAAGAAAGAAAGAAAGAAAGAAAGAAAGAAAGAAAGAAGAAAGGAAGGAAGGAAGGAAGGAAGGAAGGAAGGAAGGAAGAAAGAAAGAAAGAAAGAAAGAAAGAAAGAAAGAAAGAAAGAAGAAAGGAAGGAAGGAAGGAAGGAAGGAAGGAAGGAAGGAAGAAAGAAAGAAAGAAAGAAAGAAAGAAAGAAAGAAAGAAAGAAGAAAGGAAGGAAGGAAGGAAGAGGGAGAGAGAAAGAAAGAAAGAAGGAAGGAAGGAAGTGGGGAGAGAGAGAGAAAGAAAGAAGAAAGAAGAAAGAAAGAAAGAAAGAAAGGAAGGAAGGAAGGAAGGAAGAGGGAGAGAGAAAGAAAGAAAGAAGGAAGGAAGGAAGGAAGGAAGAGGGAGAGAGAAAGAAAGAAAGAAAGAAAGAAGAAAGAACAAAAGAAGAAAGAAGAAAAAACAAAGAAAGAGAAAGAAAGAAAGAAAGAAAGAAAGAAAGAAAGAAAGAAAGAAAGAAAGAAAGAAAGAAAGAAAGAAAGAAAGGAGGAAAGAAAGAAAGAAAGAAAAAGCAAGGTCAGTTGGTGGCGTGGTGGTTGAGGTGCTAAAGTCCTGGACCTAGTGGCTTACTTTCTCACTCTCTCTCTCTGTGTCTTTCTCTCTGTCTCTCTCTTGGTAAGCACATGTGACTTTTAACAAGACTTCTAAAACTATTATCTAGTAATAATAATAAATAAACTAAATAATTCTTTTTAAAAGAAAATGACTGAATAATAAGATAGGACTGAGTAATACTGCACTTTGAATCATAAATGTAAACCCATGCCCACTTACCTTGATTAACTTCAGATGTACCTGCGTCTGCGCATGTGAAATCTATTCCAGCTGGTAAAGCGGCCACATGAGATTTTCACAGCCAGTGCTGACTGCACATGGTTAGCGCCTATGCTTCAATGTCCACTTCCACACCATTGCTTTTAACATAACTCCAGTTTTTGTGAAAGTTTTCTGTAGAAAAGGATGAGTTTCAAATCGAGTCAGAGTGGGGTAGAACAAAGAAAAGCTGGAAAAACTAAGACACGTATTGTCTTTCAACCTGTCATCTGTTGGATTCTCAGTCAGAAGAAACGATGAGCCCATAAGACCTTAGAAATGGGTAGACATTTTAGAAAAAGCATTGGCTGTCACCTCGTCAGGAGTCAATTTTATTTAAATTTCAAAGGACATCTGGTTTATGATCTCACCTTCTGGGACCCCACGAGTTATCAAATCACTCTAATGGGTCCTGGGCCTTGTACAGATGCCTGTGGCTGAATCTGCAGCATTTTCATGACCATCTCTGGACTGGGCAGTGAACGTGAGGTCTAACTAATCTTTCTATTTCCAGCATCTCGCACAGGACTTGGCACAGAGGACTCATTCAGTTGGTGCTTGTTGAAATAAGTTGGTTCTTAATACAACAAAGACTTCCCATTCTTCATTAAGCCTTGGTCCTACTTCACTGTGATCAGTACTCAGAGCAGGGTTTGTTTTCGTGCTTCCTCCTCTTGGCTTCCTCATTTCTTTATTTTTTGACTTACAGATGGTCCTGGTTTCACTTCCTGCTTGGTTTCTGAATTCTCTGAGCACGAGACTGGGAGACGCAGGCCCTTTCCCTGCAGCTTTCAAAACCTTTCTTAGAGCTGATCTTACAAATGCTGGCACTGCGAAATCGCTGCGTGGGCACTTGGCAACTTCTCCAGCCTCACTGAGAGTCACTATCCTGTTGAATGAATCCGGCGCCTGAGGGGAGAGAGAGGGCATACGGTGTGGGTGCGTAGAAACACGTGAGAGTCTTCTCTTTTATCTGCTACCAGACGTGGGGCAGGTCACCTGATTACCTACTTCCCCCGTCTTCTGATGGACTTTGCTGTCCTGTGTCCTGAGTAGCTGAGTGGCCATTAGAGGCCCATCCCTTCCTCTGTGTCTCATGACTACGAAGGTCCTGATTTTTTGTACTTTATCAAAGACAAATCCTGAGACCAAAGTCAAGATAAATCTGATTCAGAAAAATACATGTGGCATTTTTGCACCCGAGCACTGAGAAGCCGATTGGCTTCTCAGTCACACCCTCCACACCCAAGTCCATGAAAAATGTGCCCTTAACTCTCCTCTAGAAGCTTGATTCCTGTCTCGTCATGAGACTCTTCAGCAAGGTGGTCCTTCCTGCTTTTTCTATGGATCTGGGCCTGTGGTCTACCTTATTGGGGGGACCTCTCGCAGCACCTGAAGTTATTCTGTCTTTCTGGACCTTCATGTGGCAGGGCAGTGCCTACCTGTCCACTGGTCATCACACCTGCTTCCCAATCCCTCGAGTGCTCTTTCCAGCATCACCATCTGCTCTTTAGCACCCTCCAGCACTGCCTTCTCCCAGCACTGCCTTCTCCCAGCACAAGATGGGTGGGGTAGCAGGACTGAAGTGCTCCCACCCCAGTGTAGTTTCTAAATAGGTTTCTACCCACTTGTATTCAAATTGACAGCTTGGCTCTCAAAGAACTGAGGCTCCAAAGAGGTCTCATTTTCCCTATAGTTCCAGTCTTCTTAAAAAATAAATTCAGGGGACCAGCAGTTGGTGTAACATTTATATCACTGAACTTCCACATTGTTGACCACAGTGCAAGTCCCAGACTTGGTGGCTTAAAACATGCCTGGCACATGTGCATGCATGCCTAAAGTCCCAAGAGGAAAATGAAGGAGAAAGGATTATGGTAAGGCCACCCCCATCCCCATGAATGATTTCTCGCTTCCTCTCTCCCTGTCTCTCTCTGTCTCTCTGACAAGTGAATGTGCCCTATAGTAAAAAATCTCACTCTTAAAAAACAAAACAACCAAAAAAACTCTCTTAAAAATTAAATAAGTAAAGATGACATGCAAAAAAAATCCACTAAAAAATGAAAAATAATAATAAATCCAGAGAGAGAAGTGTTTCCCTATACACGAGACTGGAACCCTCTGTGCACGTTATTACAGAGGGGCAGTAGAAGAGACCAAACACTTACCCAACTTATGACTTGTGTTGGTGGTGATTGGTTTGTTGTTAGTTTTAAATAGATTCATTTCAAAATATAAATAGAAAATGACTCCCAAGTTGTCATAGGCATTATGCCAAATATTTCAGACACTCATGAATATTATTAGATAATTATCATATTTACTGTCAATAGCACTCATTAATTTCATGAGCAGGGAAAGGAGCTCTTTCAAGCATAATTGCTACAGTCTGAAGCAAGTCACTATCCAAGTATGAAGCAATTCCATGTAATCTGTCTCTGTGGACTGGTGACTAGACAATGCCATATCTTCCTTTAACATCTTTTTTTTTTTTTTGGAGAGGTTTTTGCTATAGGGCGTGTGCGCTTGCCAGACAGACAGAGAGAGACAGAGAGATAGAAAGCGAGAAATCCCCCCCCCCCAGGGGGGATGGCCATGCCGCAATCCCTTTTCCTCTATTCTCCTCTCGGGATCTTGGGCATGCACGCACATGCGCCCGGCGTGAGTTTTAAGTCACCAGGGTTGGGATGCGAACCGCGGTCGACTACGTGGGAGTCCAGCAACATAGCCATTACACTAACTGCTGATCCCCCTTTAACATCATTTTCATAGCCTCCAACTAATAACACTTCTAAGCAGTAAAGGGTCTCACCCAGTCCTACTCAACTACCTTCATGAAGCACTTTCTGTGAGTCAAATACAGTGTTTGTACTAGAAGGATAAACAGTCCCACCCCTCACAGAGTTCACAGTTTAGTGATGCAGGTAGAAGCAAACAAATAATGTTGACTCTGGGTTTTCTATACCATAGCAGAATGCTATACAGATGTGGTTCAAAAAAGGAAAAGAGAAGCTCTCTGTGAAGAATCAAAGGAGGTCCCAAGAAGGCAATGCATGGGCTTTAAAGGATCAATAAGAATGGAGCATTATGATATATCATAGAGAAAGTGTTGTAGGTGAGGATTTCTTGACTCTCTTCCTCCTCCTCCTCCTCCTCCTCCTCCTCCTCCTCCTCCTCTTTTTTTTTCCTCCTCCTCCTCCCCCCCCTCCTCTTCCTCTCCTCCCCATCCCCACTTCAGTAGATTAGGCTATTGGGGAGATGGAAAATGGAAAGACTGAGTGGTTGATGATTTATTTTTCGAAGAGAAGATGTAACTTTAAAAGAAAGAGTAGAGGAGAGGGGAGCAAATCAATAATAATAATAATAATAATAAATATACATAGCACATACCATATGCCTGATTGACATGATTCCAAACATTAGGTCAACAGAAAAGTCATGACTCATTTTTGCTTAAAAAAAAAAACATAGAAAAAGCATCATGACTTTTCTGACATCCCAATATTTTGTAGGTATAAGTTCATCTAATCTTCGCTGCCATTTTATAGATGTGGAAAGAAGACTGGGTAATTTACCCAGGAACACATGCCTCAGAACGAGAGAGTGGGCTGGCTGTGCAGTCTGAAAACTGTGAAACAACAAAGTCAAGGGATTATTACGTGCCTGTAGGGAATGTGTTCACTCAGAGTTGAGTTCAAGACGGAAGATGAAATCCAAGTGTAAGAGACTGAGAGTGCCAAAAATGCCAGTGGGGGACTAGCAGGAGGCGTAATGGTTACGTCACTAGACTCCTACATGGCTGACTATGGTTTGAGTCCCAGAGACTTGAAATTTACACCAGGCGCAAATGTGTGCATGTCCAAAATACCAAGAGAAGAATGAAGGAGAAAGGACTGCAGCATGGCCAACCCCCCTGTGGGGGTGATTTCTCACTCTCTATCTCCCTGTCTCTCTGGCAAGTGCACAGGCCCTACAGCAAAGATCCCTCTCTTTAAAAAAAATGAATGCCAAAGGAAGGTTTGAAAGAAAAGTTGCTACTTCTTCACCCTCGTTACCTTCCCCAAACACAGCCTTAAGTATTTTCTCAACAGGCTGGAAGAGATTTAAATTGTTTCTCAGGACTTTGTGTTCTACTGGGCCCCTTTTTCTTTAAATGTGACATCCTGTTGAAACCAGCACTTGTCATGGGGGCCGAATACTGTGAGGATAACACAAGTGGTCCAGACAGGGGTGGTCAGATTGGGGAGAAAGTGACAAAGAGCAGGGACCCGGATACTCCAGGAATAGAGGGCAGTTTATGTGTGGACATAAGGAGAGCCTGGTGTTTGGGAAATTCATCTGTAACAGATGATGACAGAATTGATTCCATTTTCCATCTCCTCCAGATTTAGCCCAGAGACTTGGTGTCCTGACAAAAAAACTCCATCAGGCACCCACATGCGACAAGAGCTTGAAGATGTCCACCATGCACCTTCCCCACCTTAGGGTCTCTTTTGTCTGTGCCCACCCTGATCCACACAGCAGCAAGACTGCCTCTGCTAGCTTTTTGCTCTTATTCCTACTGCCCTTAACTCAGAGGACAACAGAAATTTACCTCGGGGAGAGGAATATTATAATACCTTTTGAAATTCAAAGAGCATTTGGCTTTCTTTGATGTTGATGAACATTCAAATCAGAAACCGTAGGTTCAAAATCCCACTGCAGAATCAGAAAGCCTTGCCTCTCAAAGCGGGGGTCCAAGCATCAACACTGGTCATTCCTGGGCTCTGTGTTTCTTCCATGGCTGTGTTGACACACTGGTTTCTGGCCAGAGCAAAGTATTTGCTTATGACCTTGAATAAAATGCAGACATCACCTCACTCACTGGGTCTCATCAAAAGCAGAACGTGTCTTTCCCTTCTTCATTGTCAGAACAGCAAAAGCACCAGGCTAGGTCATCCAGGGTCGTTGTTTGCCTCCCAGTGGAGGCGAACATTTCTTCCTGGGTTCTGTTGATGTGGCACATGCACACTTTAACCCCAGGAGTTGGCTACACTCTTTGAAGCCCCAGCATCTCCCTTCAGATTTTCCCAATGGGGTAAGTCTGGTTTTGGCTTTCAGGGATTCAAAGGCTACA